TTTTTGAGCTTGAGGGAGATGTAGAACGTGAGGGTTCTTCATTTGAGGATTCCATGATTGATTTTCGCTCCCTCATTAGTGATGTGAGATCTTGTGATGAAGGATTAGCTACCCCTTTTTACCTTTCTCATACACATTTTTCCCAAAGGTTTAACCATATCTCCTACTATCCTATGTTCCTCCCTTCTTTTCTCAAAAAACCTCTTAGGGATCCTCTTCCTGTTCATGATTCCGAAGCCCCTAACTCTTTCATTGTTGATGAGGAAAAGAGTTATAATGCCAACCAAACAGATTTTTGTGAGGATTTTTCTTTTTCTTCTTCTACTTTTTCTTCTTATTTTCTTGATTTTTCTTTTGATTCTTTTACTTTTTCATTTCTCCCTTCTCTCAAGCATAAAGTCTCCTTGTACTTTATGTTTGCTTGTCATATGAGCATCGCGTATGCTCTATTTCTTGATATGTTTGCCGGTGCATATGACAAGCTTTTGCGTTCTTTGTCGGGTTATTTACTAGATTGGTCATGCTTGGACTTTAAGCAAGCCTTTGCGGGAAGTAACCCGTGTTTTATTGCTTTCTTTTTCTTTTTTTATTTTATGCTTCTCATTTTGTTTACTCTCTTGTCTATGTGTATAGGTACTCGATGCATATACTCATGTGCAAGGATTTTGGATTGAGCTCCTTAAGAAGAAGCACACCAATTGCTTGCATTTTGAAAAGCAATAAAGACGAGGAATTAGATGAAATTGTGGACAATGTGCTCAATTACGGGTTTCAACACCCACCTCACATTTGGTTTACTCTTTCCTTCCCTCATCTTGGATTTGCTTTCTTATATGCATTTGGATTGAATGAATTATGAATTGTTGTGTGAATGTGTTTTCTTTCTTCCCCTCCCTCCCACCGTTTGTGCCTTTATTTTGAGCATTGAGGACAATGCTCCATTCTAGGTTGGGGGAGTAGCTATTCGCTAGCTTGGGGGGTTATCTATATCTTTTGGTGGTTTCTTAATCCATAGTCTCATGATTGCTTGATTTATTTCTCTCATACTTGCCAAAGTCTATTATTGAGATTGGTTTTCTATGTTTGGATGGCCATGAGCGCCTTATTGAGTTGACTTTTGGTATTTGTAGTTTTGATTGATCATGCTTTCATATTGCACAATTGTATATGCATTCTTGAGTATTGTTGGTTTTGTGAATATTTGTGTGTATAGTGTCTTTCCATGGCATTCAAGGTAAAGTTTCAAAATGTTTTGTTTTAAACTTGGACATAATTGGGCTTTAGCACCTAGAATACCCTATTTGCTAGTTGTTAGAGGTTTTCATGCACTTGAATGTCGAGGTTGGTTCACACATATAGCGTTGCCAAGGTAGTAGAACTTAAGGGCTTTGAGACCTTAGCTCACTTGGTTTGTGGTAAGATGGTAGTCGCTCTCTAGCTAGTTGAAGCTTTAAAGGTGATTTTTGTTACTCCACTACCGTCATTCTTGTGAGGATGTGTCTATATTGTTCTAGCCTTCTACATTTCTTACATGTGTGGCGTTTGGATCCTTGGAATTGCTAGCTTATATTGAGAATTTGGCTTAATCTACCCAAGATCAAGACCGAACCAACCTAGGGGAAGACGAAGGCAATTAGGATTTTTTTGTTTTGTTCTATTATTTTCTATTCTTTTATTTTTCTTTTGCATTTGCTCATTTAGTAACCCAATTTGAGCCATTTTCCCTTCTTTGGCATAACCACATTACAAACCAATGAACCTTTGCTTTATTTTCACCTTTATTAGTTTTTGTGAAGCATTATTAGGACTTGATTTGTATTTTTGGTTAATGAAAGTGAGAAAAAGAATGAAAAAGAAGTGAAGAACTCAAATTTTGGTACTTGTGATTCTATTTGTTATGTTGAATGGTTTGAGCAAATGAGAAGAAAATAAAGGAAATGAAAGAAAAATCCGCTCAAAGTTAAAAGAGGCGAGAGCAAAGAATAAAAAGATATGAAAAAAAAAGAAATTTTTTTTGAGAAAATACAAAAATATTTGTTGTTTGGTTGAAAAAAAATAAGCTAGGGGGAGGGGTTGCTAGAATTTTTGATTTCAAAGTTGGTAGTTTATTGAGTTTGAATTGAGGAATGATCAACCTTGCTTTACTTCTAAGTTTGTGAACTGTTAAACATCGCCCGCAAATTCCTACATAAAGCCCACAAAATAAGAGTGAAATGACACTTTTGCCCTCATACTAAAAAACACACAATTTCTCTCTCTACTCTCTACTTCCACTTTCTCTCTCTAAATTATTTCCAGAGCTATGTCGAGGCGGCCCGGCAAGGAAGTGGCGGCACCGGCGGTGGGCGGAAGGCGGTTTGCCGGCCAGAAGGTAATTTTTTTAATTTTTGTAATTTTTTTTAAAAAAAAAAACCTCCGGCGACGGTGGGGCGCCAAGGCGAGACGCCACCACCACGGAGGAGGCGCCTAGGCAAGGCGCCCGTACGGTGGTGGCGGCGCCTAGCCCAGACGCCACTACCACGGCAGCGGCGCAGAGGCTAGGCGCCAAGGCCGTGGTATTGGCGTCTGGGCTAGGCGCCGACACCACCGTACGGGCGCCTTGCCTAGGCGCCTCGTTCTTTTTTTTTTTTTTTAATTTTTTTTTTGTTTTTTTTTAATTTTAAATTTTATTTTCGATTTTTTTTTTTTTTTTTTAAAAAATTTGTTTTTCTTTTTTTTAAATTGTATGTTCCCTTTTTTTTTTTATCTTTTTTTTTTTAAATTTTGTTTTTTTATTTGTTTTAATTTTATATTTTTTATGTTTATAATTTTATTTCCGTGACTTGTTTATTTGCTTTTGTGTTTATTTTCGACTTTTTTTAATTTGTTTTCGTTATTATGTTTCGTTATTTACTTGGAGTTAGGCATCGCAATTTAGACCTGGTGCGGGGAAGAGTATTGACGTCGTGAGGAGTACGATCTACTCAATGGAGAGCTCGGGGCCCAGACACGTTAGATCCCGTGGTATTTCGGCCTCGGCCCGCAGAGAACGGGTGCACTGTTCTGCGGACGATCAAGATGATGATGATGATGATGAGGAGGTGGAGGAGGAGGTCGAGGAGGAGGAGGTCGAGGACGAGGATGATGCAGATGAGGATGTCGACGATCAGAGTGGACCATATGATGAAATGACACTTTTGCCCTCATACTAAAAAACACACAATTTCTCTCTCTACTCTCTACTTCCACTTTCTCTCTCTAAATTATTTCCAGAGCTATGTCGAGGCGGCCCGGCAAGGAAGTGGCGGCACCGGCGGTGGGCGGAAGGCGGTTTGCCGGCCAGAAGGTAATTTTTTTAATTTTTGTAATTTTTTTTTAAAAAAAAAACCTCCGGCGACGGTGGGGCGCCAAGGCGAGACGCCACCACCACGGAGGAGGCGCCTAGGCAAGGCGCCCGTACGGTGGTGGCGGCGCCTAGCCCAGACGCCACTACCACGGCAGCGGCGCAGAGGCTAGGCGCCAAGGCCGTGGTATTGGCGTCTGGGCTAGGCGCCGACACCACCGTACGGGCGCCTTGCCTAGGCGCCTCGTTCTTTTTTTTTTTTTTTTAATTTTTTTTTTGTTTTTTTTTTAATTTTAAATTTTATTTTCGATTTTTTTTTTTTTTTAAAAAAATTTGTTTTTCTTTTTTTTAAATTGTATGTTCCCTTTTTTTTTATCTTTTTTTTTAAAATTTTGTTTTTTTATTTGTTTTAATTTTATATTTTTTATGTTTATAATTTTATTTCCGTGACTTGTTTATTTGCTTTTGTGTTTATTTTCGACTTTTTTTAATTTGTTTTCGTTATTATGTTTCGTTATTTACTTGGAGTTAGGCATCGCAATTTAGACCTGGTGCGGGGAAGAGTATTGACGTCGTGAGGAGTACGATCTACTCAATGGAGAGCTCGGGGCCCAGACACGTTAGATCCCGTGGTATTTCGGCCTCGGCCCGCAGAGAACGGGTGCACTGTTCTGCGGACGATCAAGATGATGATGATGATGATGAGGAGGTGGAGGAGGAGGTCGAGGAGGAGGAGGTCGAGGACGAGGATGATGCAGATGAGGATGTCGACGATCAGAGTGGACCATATGATGATTACGGTCCATTCAGTCAGAGACTTGATGATACGTATGAGACGCATAGGGTAGATGTGCGTAAGGGTCGAGATGGTAGGTTTGTTAGTAGATCTGGCACATCATCTGCGTCCACTGTGTCTGCGGGTAGCAGAAAACGGTCGAGGGCCGTTAATGATTCTTGGATGGTGAGGGGTGAGGTGGCCGGGGGACCTATAGACGGGAGTGTGATTCCTAGCTTTTTAGGACACATCGCTACCCGTATTTGGGAGGACCAGGAGAGGGCTTTGGATACAGGCATTTTGAAATGCCAAACCCGGGAAAAGACTTGTAGGTTTTTGTGTAGCTGGGCTGATGCTTGGCCGGAGGAGAGCGAGATGGTCAGGCGATTGAGGGCCACTAGAGTGAGTCACCTTCCTGCCACCATGCACGACAGGATTGACTGGACGCTGATCACGGCTTTCGTTGAGCGATGGCAGCCGGATACGAACTCGTTCCACCTTCCGTTCGGTGAGATGACGATCATGTTGCATGACGTCGAGGCCATCCTTGGGATTCCCGTGGAGGGAAACCGAGCATCTGTCGTCACTGATGCGGATCAGGCAGATTTACTAGCGGAGCTGTTGGCGGTGGATAGGGCTGCGCTGTACACATCGGCACTTGGTGTGTGGGATCACGGCGGCGTTAAGATCGCAGCCGTCTTGCAGCGATGTTTGCACCCTACGGCACGTAGGACGCAGGACACACAGCTGGCTGCATATGTTTTTCTTCTTCTCGGGTGTACCTTGTTTCCGGATAAGAGCGGGAACAAGCTCAGGCCACGCGACATAGTTGACGCGTGTGAGCCCGACAGAGTAGGCCAGTTTTCTTGGGGGTCGGCTACGCTGGCGTATCTGTATCGCCAGTTAGGATTCTCGAGCCGGGCTGATGCAGCAGGTATCACTGGATGTCTGACGTTGTTACAGACCTGGATATACGAGTATTTTCCTGCGTTTCGACCACACCGCGACCCGGTTCCCATTGGTGATGGCCAGCCACGTGCCTGTGCGTGGAGTCCGCGTGTCGAGAAGAAGTCCGTTGACCGCCTGCGCTCCATACGGTTATCGCTTGACAGGATGTCCCCCTTAGAGGTTCAGTGATTAAATTATTTCTACTTTTACAATCTGATGCTTTATTTTATGACTGTTACTGATTTTAAATAATGTGCAGGTGAACTGGATGCCTTTCGGCCAGAACCCTAGTAATAGGGTACCCAGGACCCTCTACACTGGACTGATTCAGTATCGCGAGATCGTAGAGGCGTACATGCCGCAGCGCTGTCTTCGCCAGCTTGGATTTGTCCAAGTTGTCCCACCTCCACCGGCATGGCCCAGTAAGGCGGTACGATCTGCGTCGTCGAAGGAGTACGTCGTCCAATGGCCGTCAAACATGATATTCATGTGGGAGCAGTTTCCGATGGTTGCCCGCCTATGGACGGCGGAGCTGCAGCGGCCGCCAAGTGGGGTGACTGCCATGTGTGACCAGCACTACATGGAATGGTACATCCGGCACTCGCACCCGAGGTTGATCAAAGACATCGACGACGCAGATGATGACGATGTGCCACCTGCCACTGCCTCTTATGCGGTACGTCTCATCTTTTATTTGTTGTTCTTTTATTTTAATATATATATGTATAATACGTCGTTTCATGTTTTTTGTTTTGTGTAGTGGATGGGCAAGATTATGCAGTTGGGACACCGACTTTTTGAGGAAAGGGACTGCATGACGAGTGCATCAGGCAGAGCTGTTATTGACGATCTGGAACGGACCCTTGAGCAGTGGCAGTGGGCGTCACAGAGGGATTACTGATATTTGAAATTAGACATAGTATTGACAATACAAGGCCTCATAGTAAAAGGTAGGTGTACATCAACAAAAACTACATGGCAATTAAATTATTCCACTGTTGCACGCGAGCATGGTACAAAGCATCCCAACCCTCCACGCTTGCTCTATGAATTTCATACCACTTCGGTATGATATTTGGGACCGGAAAATCGGGTGACATGTCTAATCGGATAAAATGTCTGTATGACGGCCCAAGAAATCCAATAGCAACGTCCCTTACCGGTCTGGTGACGGTCTCGCGCGAACACCAGGGCAGAACCGTTGTACATGGATAATAGGCTCGACTATGTAAACCAAGGCCGAAATGCATGACTGCACACTTGTAGATGTTTGCAACGGCAAAGAGATCAAGTGGCGCATCGAACCAATGATTTTGACCGCAAGGTCCACCTCCCCACCGGATACGCTGCAGAGACCTATCCAAGTCCTCGCCGTACACATGGCCATACACATCTCGGTTTGATGCGATTTCACTGTACATCAACTGCCGCACTAAACCGTAGTTGTCTTCACCCATTTGAAACACATCCGCCACAACCCGAAATCCGCAGTTACCATCTGCAATGACATCATTCCACCCGTCCAAGAATGGCATCATGATATTAGGGATCCTGTCCTTATATGGAAAATGTTCAATGTCCATTCTCCCTGTAACACACATCAATAAACACAATAAACAAGTCAACAGTAAACTAATCAAACAGTCAACAAAAGAAATTGAAGTCGAATGTCTTACCGGTGCCGGGCATATTCACCGACGACGATGATTGGCTGCCACTTGATGAGGATGTACGACCACGGCCACGGCCACGGCCACGACCGCGAATGTACTCAAACGCACTCTTGTTCCGCCGTGGTTGTCGACCCCTAGGTCGCTCGACCCCTTCCGGTTCCTCGGTATCCAAACACGATGTATTGAACATGTCATGAAGTATGTGTGTAGCACTACGAATGATCGAAGGGTGACTGGAGGACACTTGGTCAAACATCATCTGAAACTGCTCCAACTCCTCCTGTTCACGGTGAACCGTATGCGGAACAGCATGCTCTCCGATAACGAGCGTCCGCCAGAATGGATGAACCTGATCGACATGTAACGACGCCCTGTCTTGCGTAATTACGCGGTGAATGGTGCATGCACAAGGTAATCCATGAGTCATTGATATAGCACATCCGCACCGAATAGCCACTTCATCGCCCAACTCCCTCATCCTGGTATACTCGCTCAGAATCAACCCCAAACAGTGGTGTGACACACGACCGTGGAGAATCTTAAATATGAAATGGCCATACAACATGCCATGTCGTCGTCTGGAGTCCTCGAGATAGTTCTTGATGCCGTTCCTCTGAGTATCAATAGCCTTGTTTATTCTCTCGAACAGTGTATCCAGAGCAGCCGTGGAAGAATCAATCCAGTCCTTCAAAGCTCTATGAGCGCTCTCGACTCTGCATGTCGTAGTGTTCCCAAAATGAAGAACTTGGTTCGTCCAATATTTGACAAACTTTTCCCTCTGAGGCACCCACTGCTGCATCACATAGTCTACGATTGCCGGGCACCATTGGTATGCATCCTTGAAGTTTTCCAAGGCTCGATCGTACTCTGCCTCCGTGGTAGCTTGCAGGATCTTCCGCCACTTACCATTTACCAATCTCTCTGCTGAATCTAAGTTCTTGTTGAAAAGGTTGTAGGCTTTGACTTTCACGCAGTTGTTGATGTGCCATGTGCACAGTAAATGGCTCGACTCCGGAAACAGCTCCGCTATAGGGGCAAAAAGACCTCCCTCACAATCACTTACGATGGCCGATGGCTGTACATTTGGGCCGATGTAGTTTCTCAACTTTTCCAACACCCAACGGTAACTCGCAGCCGTCTCATCCTTCATGACTGCATAACCAATCAGAAAGTTCTGGTTCGTTGGAGCCATCCCAACCATCTCAACCAGTGGGAACTTGTACTTGTTTGTCTTGTACGTTGAATCGATCAAAATCACAGATGGCCAAGACGAAATCATATCAGCACAATCAGGATGGACAAGGAACAAATGAGTTACCTCCGATGTGTCTTCGTCAGATTCAAACCAGTAAAGGTAACCACGTGCTTGTGCCTGGTGCAGAAGCTGCTGTATAGGGTTCCTTCCCTCTGACCGTTCAAACCTCAATTTCTGTCTGACGTTGTAGATGTGTCTTCGGTTTGGCTGGTCTTCGGGGAATTTCTCTAACACAGACGCTAATATTTTAGCGGGCTTCACTTGAGCATCACTCATTTCTTTTACAACTAGTTTCGCAGCTGGACTTAGGCCGCTTAACTGCCGATGCCCCACTTTGTATGCTATCAGCTCATGGTTGTGATATCCCCATTTGCCGTAACCCTTCACTTCCCAACCGTCACGCCTTTGATGTTGTCGAACCTTAACTCGGAACTGACACCCACAACCTTTCCGCTTTGAGTCAAACCGAATCGCTTTACTGAAATCTCGTTCTTCTCTTTTGCGATAACGGTCGCATCTCAAAATGCGATCCATTCTACCATCCCGTTGAGATTTATGAGTTGCTACTACTAAACAAAAGCCTGATCTAATTGCAACCTGTTTTGCCCAATCAATCGCTTGTTGAGCATCTTCGAACAGGCCATCATGTACAAAAATCCCACTGTAATCATTTCCGTCTCCACCATAATCCTGTAACAATAACATATAACGTATAAATATAATTACATTAAGATTAAATTAACAAAAACAAACAAAAAAAAAAAAAGGGATTAAATTAAAAAATAAAAAAAAAAAAAAAAAAATATTCCCCTACTGGCGCGTGGCCAGGACGCCGGAGCCACGGCCAGGGCGCCTGGTCAGGACGCCGCCGCCATGGTGGCGGCGTCCTGGCCAGGCGCCTTGGCCGTGGCTGCGGCGTCCTGGCCACGCGCCACTACTATGGTCGAGGCTTCTCCACCAGGCGCCGTGACCACGGTGGCGGCGTCCTGGCTAGGCGCCACAACCACGGCATGGCCTTTTGGCTAGGCGCCAGCCACCATTTCGTCCTTACGATGCGTTACGAACCTCGTTTTCCGATGACGACGGCGATTCTCCGGTGATCCTCGGCGATCCGGTGCTGCTCCACATTTTTTTAGTGCGAAAAATTTATCTTCCGTTAAAATTATAAAAAGGGCAAATTTGTCAAAAAATTATAAAATGTGGGCTTTATGTAGAGATTTGCGGGCGATGAATAACAAGTCCCCTAAGTTTACCACCAATTTCCAAATTTATTTCCACGCCCTTTACCCTAGCCTAAACGTTTCAACCCTTTTAAGACCTTTTGACCTTAGTGAGGTTTAGTTACTACCGGTGGAGGGTAATCAAGCCAAGCCTATTGAGCGAGCTATCGATGCCAAGATGTCGGGTAGCCTAAATTTTTTTCATTGCTTGTTTCTTCCGGTTCCTTCGAGGAATCTCGAGATATCACCTTAAAAGTGGATGCAAAACTAGTGAGGACGCGGAAGTTTGGTTGGAGATAAGGAGGAGTGTAAGTCCCTCTAAGTTCTCCACCCTTTGCATGCTTTATGTGTGTACCAACCTTAGCTATTCTTTTGCTTGGCTACCTTTAATGTCTAGAAAGGATTTTATTCTTGTGCATTTAGCATATTGTTTGTGTTTGGTTTGAAATATCAAAACTCGAGTTTTCTTGATTTCACCTTTGCCTTGAATGTTATGTATTGTCGAGAGTTGTGGGTTAAACCTCTTAGGAAACCCTCACGAGAGCTTACTCGTCCTCTTTGGCAACATGGGGGTTTAAAGGGCTTGATGCATACGCTAAATGCATCCGTGATTCCTACGGCAGTGAGTTAGTGTACATTCTTTCTCTTTGTTTCTATTCTTTTGCTTTCAATAATTCCATCTTGTTCTCTTTTGCCTTAGCTTTGCTCGAGGACGAGCAAAAGCTTAGCTTGGGGGAATTTGATGAGTGACATTTATGTCACTCTTAGGGAGTAGTTTTAAAGCTATTTTTGTGTTTATTTTATCCTATTTTCCCTTTTATTCTCTTATTTCCCTTTTAATAAAGTTTCTAGTTTATTTCTTAGTTTTAGTGTGTTTTAATTTAGTTTCTTTATTTAATTAGTTTCTAGTTTATTTTCATATTTTATTTACTTTCGATTTATTTTATTTCGTTCCTTTCCTTTCCTTTGTTACTTTCATAGTTTTAATTAGTTTTAAGTTTATTTTATTTACTTATATAGTTTTATTTGATTTTTATTAGTTTAGTGTTATTTCATTTATTTTCTATTTTATTTATTTTATTTTATTCTTTGTCTCAATCCCTTTCCTCGGTTTTTGTGTGTAGGTGTTCGGGTTTCGTGCCAAGTGAGTTCGGGTTTCAATTTGAGTCAAATGCCCAAGCCCCATTTCATGAGCATGCTGCCAGCCACCACTACCCCCTGTTCTCACACCAATGCGCAACCCCACAACCACCAGCCAACAACCACCTGACCACCAATTGCAGCAGCCATGCAACTCCCCTGCTGCCACCAATTTCAACCACCAGCCTCAGCAACCCACCACCAATTTCAACCACCTGACCACCAATTGCAGCAGCCACGCAACTCCCCTGCTGCCACCCAATCCACACAGCAGCCGCAATAGCGCACACCAAGGACCACCACAACCATTTCCCTTGCTCCCTGACCACCATTCAACCAACCAAACCAGCCACGCAACAATCAACCTTTTCACCACGCAAACCTGCAGCATCACCAACCCGCAACCCCAACTGCAACAGCAACAGTAGCCGCACCACCACCAACAACCACCAGCTCCACCAACAAATTCCACCAAACCACAGCCACTCAATTCCTTACTCCCCTTCCCCAATTCACCTGCATTCAACAACAACCTCCACCGCACCTAGCAGCCAACAATTGCAGCCTGCAATTCACCCAACACCGAAACCACCATCAGTCACCACATTCACCCCTTAACCATCAAACCACCTGACCACCTTCCTTTGACACCAACAACAGCTCTTCACAGCCACTCGCAACACCAAAGCACAAGCAACACCAGAGCAGCCCGCAATCGATTCGCCACCACAATCCCAAATTGACCACCGCAGCTCTGACAAAATAACCTTCCTCACCGCTGCAACCAACCACCAGCCCACACCATCATCACCGCACCAATTGCAACCCTTCAATAAAACGCCCAAAATCAGAGCAAATAGCAAATTCTCAAGGTTTGGGCAAACTGTTGAGGAGTTCGGTCGAAGTGCCAAAAGAGTCAGAAACATATGAAGTTTTCTAAATTGAAGAGGTGTGACCGAACACACCCATGGTTCGACCAAACCAACCCCGTAGTTCGGCCGCACCAACCCATGGTTCGACCGAACCACTTCACGAGCCTCGAACATGATATTTAAAGAGGATCGAACGATTGAAGCTTGGTGATGGTCGTTGATCTTTGATTTGCGATGATGATGTGCGGTGATGATGGATTTTGATGAATGGTGAAGATGATAATTGAAGCAGCCAATTTCGAAGAAGAGAGTCTGGTTGTGTTTTTGTGGGAATTGATTTTGGTTTATTTTCTTTTTATTTTTATTTCTTTTTTTTCTTTTCCCTTTTTTCTTATTTCTTTCTTTTATTTTTATATATTAGTTTTCTTATTTTACTTTTCCTTTATAATTTAATTTCTTTTCTTTTCTTTTCTTTTTCTATTTTTCCTAGCTTAGTATTTATACCCATTTTTTGGGATAATTAGAAAATATTCAATAACCATCTATTCTACTCTCTCATTAGTTTTAGGAGAGCTTCACTCTCTAGATTTAGGTTAGAATTAGGGTAGTTTAGAGAGAGAAAGTAAGGGTTTTACCATTGATGAACTTGGATATTTAAGAAGAAATTGATCATCTTTTCTATAGACTTTCATCTTCCATCAATGAGAATCTCTCTCTCCTCTATTTTTTATTTGCTTTATTTTGATTATTATTTTAGTTGTTGGTATTGCTTATTAATCATGTTTATTATTGATTATTCGTTAATTAATCTTGTTATTAGCATGATTAGTGAGTAATTGCCCCATTAAGGGGATGGTTGTGGTGTAGTTGGATCTTGAGCATGTTCTAGGGTTTAGAATTGATTTATTTGTGATTAAA